CACACACATATGTATGTATAAAATTTTGGGAAGGTTATTTTTGAGACAGGGTCTCCCTGTAGCCCTCAGCTGGCCTGAAACTCACTATGTAGACCAGGCTAGCCTCAAACTCACAGAGTTCCACCTGCTTCTGCTGGAATTAAAGGTGTGCACCAGTACACATAGTGAGATGTTATTATAAAGGCAAGTATTATTATGAGCCTTGAGTATGGTTCTGCTTAGAGATTGGCTAGATGGAGTGTCAGTGTATGTAAGATTGGGTGGGTGTGACCTTAAGACCTTTGCATCTCTAAAGTTCCTTCATGAGGTTCCAAGCTAGTTCCTAACATAGCAAGAGTAGTGAGCAATGAGGGGCTAAACAGTGTAGTCCCTTCTCTATCAGGGCTCTCAAGTTTGTTGTCTTGACTGCTCCAAGGAGCCATTATTCAGCACAGGGAAGATAGGAGTGGGAAACTCTACATTCATTGTTTACAACCCATAACAAACCTTAGCAGTCAAGTGATATTCTTATGACTTGCCCACAGACATACAATAAGTGTCCAACTCAGGACACATATAATAAGTGTTCAACTTAGGCCTTTCTGACTCCAGTGTTGACCAATGTTTCTTCCCTACATTATGTGCTCAGACTTCCCTCCAGCTAACTTCCCACCACCCCCTACACAGTGCTGTTAAAAATGTGGTTTCTGGGTCTCACTTAAATTATGACTCAGTAGATTTAAGCAAGGCGAGGTAGATGTATTTCTTCTTTTTAAAAAAAAATTTACTATTTATATTTTAAGGTAGATGCATTAAATGAAAAAGAAATGCCTTGGGTAATTCTAAATTTAGTTGAGGATCTGCAAAGCAGCACACTTTGAAAGGAGACTGCCCATGTGGCCTCTCTTGAGATAAAACTTTTGCTCCATTGTAGCTGGCAAATTTAAGGATGTATGCGACTCTCCTGAGAGCTTGTTGAAACAGACTGCTGGGCCTAACACCTCTGGGAGCCTGACTCTCTTAAGTCTGAAGCAGGAGCCAAGCATCTGCCTTTCTGACAAACAGGATGATGCTGGATCAGACCTTTTTTTTTTTTTTTTTTTTAAAGATTAAAACAATTATGTGTATGAGTGTTTTGCCTACAAGTATGTAAGTGCAGCATGTGCATGCCTGGTACCCAGGGAGGCCAGAAGAGGCTGTAGGGTTTCCTAGAACTGGAGTTAAGGACAGGGCCTAGCTGCTATGTGGGTACTGAACTCTGGTTCTGGAAGAGCAGTAGGTGCTCTTAACTACTGAGCCATATCTACAGCCCCTGCCATCTGCCTTTGTGACAAGTCCAGGATGAATCAGATGCTGCAGGTCCAGGGACATACTTTGGAAACCACTGTCCTATGAGCTTGCTGGTCACAAGTATGATCATGATCTGGAAGCCTGATGCCGCTTCTCAGGCTTTATCTGACACCTACTGAATTCAAATCTGCAGTTTATCACAATCTCCAAGTGATTTGCATGCACCTTAACAATGTCTTAGGGCAGCTGAAGTAGAGCAAACCCTGGAGGGTGGAGGTAGATGGAGAACATTTCTTCTTCCCATGCATACAAAAGAAGTAATGAAGAGGGGCTTAGCATTAGGAGGGTGGGCACTCAGAAGGGAGGGCGGCTGAGAGACAAGATCTGGAAAAGATAGAGGAGTCTTCTATAAGGAAGGAAGAGCTGGGTGGGCCCCAGATGAAAGGCTGTGGAGAGGCATTCTGTTGAGAGCCAGCATGTGGGAGGGCGCATTGGGGCCGAAGTCTTCAGCAGGGGCAGTGGCCTGGGAATGCCATAGGTGAGCACACATCTGATAAATAGCTGGCTGAACTGCTGGGAGGGCCAAAAGGGGAAAGCATGAGACTGCTGGGGACTCAGTCAAGCCAATGTTTTGACTCTGCCCTGCAGAGTGAAAAAAAAACAACCACACAGGAGAGGGTAAGGGTCAGAGTCAGCACAGGGTACTGCAGGCCAGGGTCCCATGGGTAAGCTGGACACAGTAGAAGGTTCAGTGTGTATAGAGACATAGAATAGAAAGACTACACATCATTGGAGATCCTTGGGCTATTATATTTTATATTTAAAGAAAAAAGGCAGGGAAAAATCCTTCAGGAGACATATCAATGCATACAAGTAAGCCAAAAGGAAGCACATTATTTTTCAGACACATAAATGTTGAGCTGGTCAATAGGGCTTGTGTTGCAGGATAATGCACGAATGGGGCTGGGGTGCTGGGAGCCCCAGAATTGCCCAGCCTTGACTCCAGCCCATGCAACTACAGAGTGAGATGGAGGTAAACAGAAATTAAACTCCAGTGCCAATAGAGTTCCACATCTGCTGGTCCTTTCTGCCCCTTCTAACAGCTTTAATGGCACCTTCCCTCCCCTCTTCTCACACAAGGAAAAAGTCTCCTTAATATTGGAAGCTCCTCTGTCAGATAGCCCTTTCTTCTCAAGGACCCACAGGGAACCAGGAAATGAAGCATAGTGAATGCTTCTGCTTTAGTTAACTAAACTAAACTTGCTGTGACAAAATACCTGGCAAAACAATTAGAGGAAAAAAGGGTTTCTTTTGGCTCACAGTTTGAGGGCACAGTCTATCATTGTGATAGCTTGAAAGAGAATGTCTCTTGTAGGCCTCAAGTATTTGGACAAAGCTCATGGGGGCAGGGGGCTTGCGGGATTTCTAGTCACTTTCTGCTTCCTGTGCCTGCTTGAAAATGTGAGTGTTTAGCTTCTGCTGCTCCTGCTTTGGCCACCTCACCATGGCTCCCCACCATGTTGGACTCTAATCCTTCTGGAACCTGGAACTGTAAGCTTACATAAACTCTTTCCTATAAGTTCCCTTGGTCACAGCAATAGAAAAGTAACTAATACAGTCGTGGTAGGGAAGGCATGTGGCAGAAGCTTGAGGCAGCTGATCACATCTTATCTGCAGTCAGGAAGCAGAGGGAGATGAACCTTCCTACTCCAGCCCATGGAATAGTACCACCCACATTTAGGGTGGGTCTTCCCACCTCAGTTAATACAATCTAGAAGCTCCTTTACAGACATGCCTAGAGGTTTGTCTCAGGTGATTCTAGATCCTGTCAAGTGGACAATATTAATCATGACAGCTCCCATGCTAACATACAACTCTCCTCTCATTCCTCCAAGAAATAGCATAAGGGGCAGCATACATTCAACAAACAGACCTGGGTTTGAAACTGCCGCATACAGTGCCATCCTTGGGCTAGCTACTTGCATCTCTGGGCCTTTGTTTGTTTTCTGCTAACTTTTGTAAAGGAAGGAACCATATGTCTTTTTTTGGTGCTCTGTCCACATTGAGAACTGTGCAGGACACGTAGTAAATTTTCATACATGTTTATGTATGAAGGAACTAAATCTTATATCCTCTCTCCTATGACTTACTTTATGTAAGGCACTATTCTTGATCAGACTTGTGTGAGGATGAGCTGGATTTGTTATAAGGAAAATTTCTTGCTCTTGAAAGATGGTACCATACATTTAAACAAGAACTTCTTGATTATCCTTTATGCCAGGTTCTGGGGAGAAGCCAATTCCTTATAACTGTTTGTCCAAGGAAGGAGGAACCGTGTTATTGCCTCCCACTAGAGCCAGGTGTTCCCCTCCTTTCCTCCTTTCATCCTCTTCCTCTTTGTCACCCTTTCTCTTTACACAGAGAAGAATGCCATTTGGAAAAGTACAGCTCAATAGGTATGAATCAGCTTGGGCAGGCGAGAAATGATTCATGTCTGACCAGCTTGATTTAGTTCAGGTCATCCATTCTGAGTCCTTTTCTCTCTTCTAATTAAACGATGATTGTTCTTGATGGTGGGAGGGAAGAGACTGAATTTAATGTCTGTATTTATGGAAGGCTGGGGACAGGAGATATAAGGGAACATGTTTTCCTACTAGGCAGAGCCCTGGTATGGAGATAGGATGGCAGTGGTGTTGGGAATGCTGATGCTCTTGGGATCTTCTGGGCTGGCTCTGCAGCTGGTGATGGATAGTCTATGACCCTGCCTTTCTCCTTTTTCCCAGCTGAAAACTATGGCTCACCCTGCCCCCCATGACCTGCCTCTGGAGAATACATGAACACTTCAATTTAATTGTCCTACTAGACCTAGCTGTAGAATCACTGGGCACAGTGCCTGGGCACAGTCAGGAGTAGGGAGAGCGTGGTGATCAAAGCATCCCTCCTTGTCTATCAGCACTCACAGTTAAGCCTGTTGCTGCTGATGGTGCTGACTTTTCGTACTGTAAATTTCCTCGGACGTTTGTGCTCTGGGGTGGTTTGCCAAATCCTTGAGTCTCCTGTGACTATGGCAGCTTAGCTCCTTCGAGCCTTGGGTAGAAAAATCTGAGAACTCTGGGCTTCCCATGCCTTCCCCAGGACATGCCATGCCACTGCTTCTTCCTTAAGCATTTGACAGTCCTGGCACCTGCTACATGCTAGGCATTGCACTAGGTCATGATAGCTGCAGCAGAGTGTGCAGGCAGATGCCTCCACATTTGGTCTTCTCAGCAACCCTAAGACAGGATTTGTAATGTTCTTACTTTTTACAGCCAAGGCAATTGAAGATTGGAGAAGCAAGGCACCCAGTATAGCTACAACTTAAGTGGACACACCATTCAAATCTGTAGACAACTCCTACAGTCAGCTTAGGGGTTAAAGTGTTAGAGAAGGTGCTTGCCTCATGTCCTCTTTTTCTTTTTTTTTTTTTTTTTTTTTTTTTTTTTTTTTTTGTCTTTTTGAGACAGGGTCTCCCTGTAGTCCTAGAACTCACTATGTAGACCAGGCTGGGCTTGAACTCAGAGAGATCTGCCTGCCTCTGCCTCCTGAGTATAGGATTAAAGGTGTGCGCCACCACGACCAGTGATCTCATGACACCTCTTTGTCACCTTAAATCAAAAGGAAATCCCTTCCATGTGATGTCTTGGGCCATCTTAGAGCATGCCTTTCCTAACTTTTGTGCTTGCTTTCTCCAGGTGTTGACTTTAAGATGAAGACCATAGAGGTTGATGGCATCAAAGTGCGGATACAGATTTGGTGAGTTGGGTAGTAGGAGGAGGGAGGCAAAGAGGGAAGATTATGGGTCGTTCCTTGTCTCCAGTGTCATTTGTAAAATCTGTAGCCTTCATCTGGGATAACTGGATACCTTAGGATGAGCTAGATTAAAGTCCCTATCCCTTGTTTCTATGCAATTGATCGAAGTCACCAAAGGGGAGGAATTGGAAGTTAGTAAAATAACTGTGTGTGCTTCTCTGAGAATTAGGCTTTACGCTGGAGCAGTGCAACATTGTGGTTAAGACTGGAAGGATGGAAGCTTCCAGTTTTAAGTCCTAAGAAACCATATCTTAGGTTGGGACTGTGGTAAGAGAGCCTCAGTACTGTATGGTGCAGTTTTCACCAGGGGCCACCAAGGGCTGCTGTGGCCCTCTGGCCTAAAGGTCTTGGAGGCCCTGTCTTAGCCAGTTTATGGTGCTACCTCCCAATCCCAGCCCATGGTCCCATGGGCATTTGGGGGGTGTTGCAAATCCTCCGGTCTGGCCAAGCCTGGCCTGCAGTGGCTAAAGTCTAGGGAACTGTCCAAGTCTCAGTTACATTTTGGGTTCTGGTACAAACACAGTTGTCAGGAGAGGCCCTGCAAGTGCCAAGGACCAGGCCTCTCACTGCAGTTGGATGTGTTTGGATCTCCTTGGGATCAGAGCACTGCTGATTTTTACCCTACAACTCTCCAGTTTTTCCTGTGAGGGCACAGGGACTCCCTGTTCCTGCTGCTCCCTCATCATCTGCCCCTATGGTCCCTTCTCGAAGGACTGGCTTTCTATTGCAGGGACACAGCAGGGCAGGAGAGATACCAGACCATCACAAAGCAGTACTATCGACGGGCCCAGGTAAGCAACCACTTAAGGGTTAGAGCTGGGAAGCTGCCACCCACACTCCCAGCACTGGGTGTTTGAGATGCCTATGTCACTGAACTCTGAAGTAGGGCCCTCAGATTGCCTACTGGGGAACCTCACTAATTATTCATTCCTCAGTTATTCCAAGATCACTTACTGTAGCTGGGTTCCTCACTCTCACAGCTTCTACCCTCCACCCCGGGCCAAAGACCCAGGTCACAGTATGTGAAGAGCTCAGTGTCGACCTACAAATGGCAGCTGTGGAAATCTGAGAAAGAAGGAAACATGTCTAGATGTTGAGGGGTCCTCATTGTAAGCAGGGGGAAGGGAGAGTGGGCCCAACATGTAAGGCCCACCCTTCTAGCCCTGTAACTGTACATTCTTTCTGTGCTCATCTTCCTCCCCCATCTCTTTCTCTCTCTTTTTCTCTCTCAGGGAATATTTTTAGTCTACGACATTAGCAGTGAGCGCTCTTACCAACACATCATGAAGTGGGTCAGTGACGTGGATGAGGTAGGAGATAGCACCTCACTGAGGGGTGGGTGGGGAAAGGGTATCTTAGGGAAAGACAGGACAAGGGCAAGATGGGAAGGGTTGAAGTGCTAAGGGTTGGCCTATAAATTTTGCCTTCCATAGCCCTGTATGAAGACCTCTGGGTAAGTCATGTGAAAAAAGCTGAAGTTTCTATGTACTCATACTCTGTACCCCAGCAGTGTCTTTCCCAGAAATGCATTCATTCTAAGACTACCCTATGGGCAGCTTCCTTCCTGAAACCTCAGGACCAGGTGGAATTGCAAGTCTGGCTTTTTAGACCTGCAGAGCCATTTCAGCTTCTGTGGGTCCCCAGTCCCTCATTTGTTAAATAAAGGCTCCACTAAGTCTAGTGTCCTTTGTAGCTCAGATATCATCAGTATTAGCCAATGTCTTCTACCCTCAGCTGTCCCTGTGACACTCTGGGGGGTCACCCATGGTATGGTAGTCCTGCCAATACTCCATTCCAAGATTCACAATGGAAGCTTATAACTCAAATAGTGCCAGACCCTTTGTATGCTAGTTTTTCCTACTCATGCATACCTGTGACAAATATTTCTAAATTATACATAGTAAAAGATTTAAGAATAATAATAAAATAGTAAAATTATAATGTTCTATTACTTAAGAATTATTTATCAGCTGGGCATGATGGCACATGCCATTAGTCCCAGGACTCGGGAGGCAGAGGCAGGCAGATCTTTATGAGTTCAAGGTCAGCCTGGTCTACATAGTGAGTTCCAGGCCAGCTGGGGCTACAGGGAGACCCTGTCTTGAAAAAATAATAAATAAATAAATAAATAAATAAATAAATAATACAAAGTTTTAAAAAAGAATTATTTCTAGAATTTTACATTTACTATCTTTAGATGATGGTTGACTGCAGGTCATAGAAAAAGTAGAACACAAAACCATAGATGGTAGTAGTGGGGGGGACTTCTGTACTTTTTGAGCCTGTTACCTATGCTCAGTAAGCTCACTCTGTCCCTGGAGCTCTTAAACTTGGTGGTAGTTAGAAGCCAGTGGAGAGGGTATAGGGGAGATGGAAAGCAAAGGGGAGCACTCACTTGCAGGTCTGTCTTCATTTTGTCCCCAGTATGCACCAGAAGGAGTCCAGAAGATCCTCATTGGGAATAAGGCCGATGAAGAGCAGAAACGGCAGGTGGGACGGGAGCAAGGGCAGCAGGTAAGTAGAGTCCACTTGTCAGGTCTGTGGTACTTCCATGGCCTGTCCTGAGAGGAACAGGAATGTGCTCACCATCATCAGCTTCTCTCCCATATCCCACAGCATCCTCAAACAGTGGAGAGTTGACATCCTTGAGAGTTTGCTCTCGGCTCCTCAGGACAATGATGGGGTCCATACAGGAAAAAAATTCCTCTTAGGCAATAACTCTAGCAGGTCCAAGCCCCCTTAAGCAGGATTATCCTTTGCTCAAGAGATCATCTCTGTATTGGTGACAAGAAAAAACTTCAGGTTGCTGACATCTTGTTTAACAGCATCTACGTTTTACAGTTAGGGACAGGATCTCCCACTCCACCCTCTTCCATACCTCGACTTCCTAATTCCTGATACTTGGAAGGAGGTGGAAAAGAAAGTGAGGGAATAAAGGTAGCCAGGTAGAGAAGCCTCGGGTCAGAAAGGGTCAGAGATGGTGCTGAGTGAGTATCTAAGCATGCAGGGAGACCATATTCCCAGGGAACAAGAGAAAGATTGATATTCTGAGACAAGAGTCATCTGCTCACTCTGAGTGCCTCAAAAGTTTTTTCTGTTCCACTAGAGTCAATAGCATCCCATTAGTCCTTAAAATAAAATGGATTTTTTTTTTGGCATAAAAAATAATGCATGGTTATTGGAAAAGTGAAAGTAGAGGCAAACCCTACAAGAATAGCAGTTTTTGTTGAGCACTGTGTATGTGGCACTGTGGTAAGTGCTCTTAGATGTATGACCCCATTTAATCAGTCCACAACCCTGGATAACAGACACTATCATTCCCCTTTAATAGAGGATGAAGCTAGGGCTCGGAGAGAACATTAATAATAATTTGTTCAGAGTCTTATAGCTGTTGGTATTCTAGTCTGGGGTCTGTTGGACCCAAAGCCCATGTTTCTCATTTATATGTCACATTTTGGTGTCTTTGTGTTGTTCTGATATAGTGGGTTGTGAGGTGTGTGTAGGTGGTATGTGTGTGGTTTGTGTGTGGTATATGGGTGTGTAGGTGGTGTGTGTGTGTGTGTGTGTGTGTGTGTCTGTTGGGACTTGGATGAATAGGGTATATTGGTGGAATATCTTGTCCTGTTCTCTGCCAGCCTATGTCTTAGAAAGAATGCCTAGTGTCTTGAGAAGTGATGCACTCAGAGTGGCTGTCTCAACACAGCATGATCTGTGAGTGCCATGGCAGAAGCATGTGCCAGGTGGTGTGGGCATCGCCCTCCCCTCACTGACTCTCTTTCAGAAATGTCCTTGTCTTGCAGCTGGCTAAGGAGTATGGCATGGACTTCTATGAAACAAGTGCCTGCACCAACCTCAATATCAAAGAGGTGAGGACACTGGGGACCACTGACGTATCTCTGGCTGAGCCCAGCAGAGTGGGGTGGTGAGAAGAGATGGCAGACTGTAACCAAGATAGGATGAGAGGCCCCTCCCACTCATGCAGTTGAAGGATTGCCAGAGATAGAGAAGGGGACTAGACTAACTACTAACTTGTGCCCCTTGGCTTCCCAGTCCTTCACGCGCCTGACGGAGCTGGTGCTGCAGGCCCACAGAAAAGAGCTGGATGGTCTCCGGACATGTGCGAGCAATGAGTTGGCACTGGCAGAGCTTGAGGAGGAGGAAGGCAAACCCGAGGGCCCAGCAAACTCTTCAAAGACATGCTGGTGCTGAGGGTCCTGCATGGGGAATCCCCACACAACCCCCTTCCCTCGGGAGGCATGTGGAAGCAGGGGAGTCTGGGCTTTGCCCACTGCTGTCCTCTCGTTTGATGACCCTGTTGAAAATCAGTAGCCGCTGCTTCCCCGCCTGGTCTTGTGAGCAGCTCTGCTGTGGTCTCTGAGCAGCCTCTGCCCCCTGCCCCTCTACCCTGGAGTGGTATCCTTCAGCCTGTTTCCCAGCCACAGGCCTGCTGTGACCCCAGAATGTGCTGCGACCACCATCTCACCACCCCCAAGCTCCTGGGACAATGGCCAAGGCCGGAGCCAAGACCACTTAAAGCCTCCTTTCTCAGTGCATCTTGTCTCCTCTCTGCTCCTGCCCTGCCCCCCAACTTCCTCCAGCACCTTTGTCCAGCGTGCTTGTATCCAAGTCTCTCCTCCCCTTTTGCCTATGTGTCTGCTGAGTGGCTGCTAGTGCAGCTCCTTCCTTTCTCCCTAACTCTGTCTAAGGGAATGGACCCAGGCTCTGCCCCAGGGAGGATAACCCACCCTGCTCTGGGGTAGGCCAAAGGCTAAGGGTGCTTCTTTCTCTGCCCCACCCCATCACCCCTCCTTGTGCCAAGGGCCTGCCTCCCCAGTGACCTGGGAAAGTGGAACACTGAAGTAGGAAGGAAACAGCGCCCGGTGGTCCTCAAGCCTGGGCTGGCCTATCTCTGCCTTCTCCTTTTGCTGGAGCTTTGGCCTTGCTTGGCTGCCTTCATGCCTCTGAGGGGAACTGAGCTCAGAGGCAGGCACTTTAGAGGAGAAAAAAAAAAAAAAGAGGGGGGGGAGGGGAAAAAAAATCACCCCCATTGTCCACCTCCCCACAGCACCTCTCCAAAAAAAAAAAAAAATGAGGGGTGGCAGGGATAAAAAAGTCACCTCCATTGTCTACCTCCCCACAGCACCTCTCCACCCGGGCTCCTGAATTTAAAGATGGAATCAAGGCCTGAGGACACCACAGGGCAAGGAGAGTCCTGGGGTCAGTGACACTGTACAGCCAGCTGTGAACTCTAGTTCACATTTGTGAAAAGAAGTGAAGGACTAGTACCTTGACTGCAGGGTCAGAGCAAGGGCAGGTCACTAAACAGCAGGTGTGGCACAGCAGGGCCTCCTGGGTAGTCCTTCTAGTGTAAGAAGAGCATTTCCCCAGACCCCCGCAGGGATGAAAAGTGGTAACCGCGGTATTCTTTCACTGAACCCAGATGTCTGCAGTCCGGGTTTTCCTGGGTTCTAGAGCTTGTGGGCAACAAGCCTTAAAGGCATGTGGAAGAGAAAGGCAGCCATGGGTAGAAGTGCTTGGTGCTGTTCTCTTCTGCCTTCGAAACAAAGGACTCCTCTTGCCCCCTTGCTCCTACGTAAGCTTATGGGTTTGCCAACTGCCCTGTAGCTACTCAGGGAGGGAAAAGGACACGCTCTCCCAGAGTTCTATGCTCAGGAAGTTTCTTTAACCACAGTTGTCCAAGAGTAGCTTGAAGGAGGTGCCTTCAAGAAGGAACAAGTCGACCACAGCCCTGCTAGGGCGCCTCCTCACATTCCTGAGGAAAGTCACAAGCTGCACTGCATGGCTGGGCTGGGCTAGCGCCAAAGCAAAGTAAGAACTGGGCATTCAGCAACCAAGCACCCAGAGCCAGGGCACAGACACATGAAGGTAAAGAGCCACACATCCTTAGTCCTCCAAAAAATGGAGTGGGTTTAAAATTACCAGGCACTTCTTCCTGACTTACTAAATCAGAAAACAGCAGGAAGGGTGCCTGGGATTTTGGAATGAAGGACAGGTTAGCACCGTGGAGGGCAAAGGAGAGCAGGACTAGTAGTCCATTGTTCACTGATGGGAAATGAGAGAGCTGGCTCCAGGAGAGACAGATGACTGGCAGAGGCGGCTTTGAGGACTCAGTCCTGGGTATCAGGTGTTGGTAGCATCTATCATGCTGGAGATGGGGAGAGCAGTCATGCCTGCTCTCAGCCAGGGACTGAGAGGAAATGTATATTGGGCATTGACCCTAATCAGTGTTGCTGTCCCTGAAGGTCAGAGTGCCACAGTCTTGCTGTGCTCGTCCCTCAGGAAAGAAGGACTCTCTTCACTACCCTAAGGATTCTAGAAGGGGAAACATGGGGTTAGGAGTCAATGGACTCTGCCACAGCTTTGAACAGGTATGGCAGCAGAAGGTGGCTGGGATTTTGGGGTACACCTGTACTCACTAGGTTCTGGAGTCTGCCTCTTATCCTGAACGGCAATCCAGGAGGTAGCCTGGGCTGTCATTAGGCCTAGACTGTTTCACAGGCTCTCCTGGCCTGTCTTCTCATTACCGCCTCTGCCCGTTTCTTGAGGCTCAGCTCACCCCGGCACACCACCTGCTCCTGAGCCCCACCATCTCCCTGTGATGGGTGAACTGTGTACTGTGTCTTGGGTCCATTATATGAATTGTGAGCAGGGTTCATCTATTTTAAACACAGATGTTTACAAAATAAAGAATCCTTCAAACCATAGGTGTGTCTGCCTTTATGAATCTCTGGGAGGAGGTATCAGTTGGGACCATGGAGGTGACATGGAGTCAGAGAGTGAATACTGATAGAAGAGGTCCCACAACCCTAAAGTAACTGCAGAGTGACAATGGAAATGGTGAGCTCTGTCTTCTGTTTTGTATCTTCCCTGGTACCACTGCAGGAGAGCCCAGAGTAAAGCCCCCACTACTCTTCAGTGGACTTACATCTCGGGAATGGCATTAGCGGTCACTGGGAGGATGCTGACCAGAGGGTTCTTTAAAGCAAGATGGTGGTCATGTGTTCTGGAAAGATCAGGAAAGATTTTTTTCTGAAGGTGTGAGGAAAGATTAAGCAATGTTTCAGATTTGTCACTGGATGCCCACAGGAGCAGGCAGATGGGAACCTCAGGAAGGCTAGGCATTTAGGGTATGGAGTTGACGGAGGCAGACAATGGGATAGACGGAAGGAAAGAGTGAAACAGCAGGACATAGTGATCCTAAGATCTTTACACTTTCTAGAACACGTGTGATACTTTACTCCTCTGATCCTAACCGTCACTATGTGAGAGAGGAAGCATGGTTATCTTTATGCATGTTCAACAGATTAGGAAACAGGTGTTCAGGGAGCTTTAAAGATTTGCTTAAGGGCCCAAGTAAGTGTCAGAATTATCACTAAAAACCACTGCCTTGGAATCTCTAGATGGTAAAGCTTTGGCAATTCTATTTAGAAAAATCTCTATAAGTAATTCTCTTTTGCAGTCAGAACTGAGAACCACCCACCTAGGCTCTTCTGCCTACTAAGACAGCTGCTTCCAGAACAATCACTGCTGCAGAAAATCATAAGAAACACATTTGTTAGTACATGCCCAACGTTACAAGCTTCTGGAAAGTGGAGCCACACGGGGTAAGGTTGGAAACACATATTTTAGGAACACCTCAGATGTCAGAGGTGAGAACCCAGGGAGATCCCTAAGGGCCCTCGGTGTTCCCAGAGAAAAGGAAGCACAAATGCACTCCTCACTCAGGACTGTGGCTGGCCTGAAGAGGGCTTGCAAAGGGTCAGCAACTAGGAGGCACCCAGGGTGCTGGGAGAAGCTCTAGACCAACAGAGAAGCCTGGCAAGTTAACATAAGGTCTCACCCACGTCAGTGCCACTCTGACTTGGTAGCTTAGTAGGGACATTTACTGGTTACATCTAGAAACTCTGCCCAACCCCAGCACTTAGTTCACTCTGCTTCCTGCCACCATTTGTGGCACCAAAAGAATCCATTCCACTTGGACAATGATAATTTGCTTTGAGGGGGCAGTCAGCTGAGACTCTGGTTCCCATGTTCTTAAAACAACCATGGAACAAGCTACAAAGCAGAAAGAAGGACTGGACACTCCCTGGCAAGTAGTTCTTCCACCTCCCAACAAATCAAATTCTCAGGACCAGCTGCGCCCAGCCTTGCTGACTGTTCTATGAGGCAGTTCCCAATGGATATGTACCTGTGAAAACTCTCTCTGGGCAACATTTGTCTTCTTACTGAAATTTCACTCTAAAATCCCAAAGCCAAGGTAAACCTGGTTGTTCATTTTACTAAGGAAGAAATAAAGCATTTCTTAAAAGTTGCTTTTTTAGTTGATTAATGTTTGGATTAATGAAGGGGCACTGGGGTCTTCTCAGCTGTTGTGGGCTACCAGGAATAGGCTCCTAATGAGAGTCCTCAGCAAGTTCTAAGCTGTCTCACAGTACACAATGGCTGGCTTTGAAGACATCTTGGTGCCCTACGTGGTCTGGAACCACAGCAGCTTTGCCTTCCTGCACATTTCCTTGAGTGGGGAGATGGTCACACAAGCCCCCTCTTGAAAGTCTTAGGGCCCAGACATTTGTCTGAGAGGGAGATAGTTACAAGTCATCTACCCTGAATTTAGCTGTCTGTTCTGAGACCCCTCCTCACCACTCTCCCAGTAACAACTCCATCCTCGTGACTGGTGGGAAAGTATAGAATGGAGGTGGAGGTTGTAATGTAGAACATGGTACAGTGCAGGGACAAAGACCAAAGTGTTCTCCAGGACACCACTCACTGAAACACTTTCTAAAACAAACACATTATCTCTTTGCCTTGCACAAGCTGAGGCACTGAAAGTCATCCTTCTAGAAAATGAAACACTTTCCTCCTAAGGGTCCCTTTGATTCTGCTTGCAGAAAGCAATAGCCAAAAACCAAAAATGTAAAAAATATATATACTCAATAGTCATCTGAGTCAGATGGACACCAGCCCCAATTCAGAGACTGGCACTCAATACATGCATTAAAAACTGTGCCAAATAGGGGCTGGAGAGATGTCTCAGTGGTTAAGAACACTGGTTGTTCTTACAGAAGACCCCGGTTTGAATCCCAGTACCCACGTGGTGTCCATAACTCCAGTTCCAGGGGATCCAACAGCCTCTTCTGTCCTCCGAGGGCATTGTATGATGCAGGTGCACTTGCCTACATGCGGGCAATACAGGTATACACATAAAATAAAAATAATAAATAAAATAAAAAAAAAAACTGTGCCAAATAAAAATAATGTCCTGGGGCAAGTAGGAGTCAATCTTGCATGCCCCCCTTCTTTTTTTCCTCCCCATCTGACCTTTAGGGCTCTGGTTTCCAGCAAGGAGTGAATTATTCACATCTGCTCATAGATATCAAATTGGCCCTTTCCAGGTTGCCAGCAGGGTGGGGCAGAAGGTGGCTTTGTTCAGAGACTGTAAGTAGGTGGAGCCACCTCTTTGTTCAAATAGCATACGTAGGTGAGTGCCTGTTTTTGCTAAGTCATCCTGGAAACGCTTAAGGGCACTTGTGAGATCCTTTCTCTCCTTCCTGTCTCCTCCTTTCTCCCGCTCCTTCCATAGACCTTTAAGTGGACTCGTACACCTGGGCAGGGCTCCCTGGACACTTCACCATGGCTTACATTGCCAAGTCTTTCTATGATCTCAATGCCATCAGCCTGGATGGGGAGAAGGTAGATTTCAACACCTTTCGCGGCAGGGCAGTACTGATTGAGAATGTGGCCTCGCTCTGAGGAACAACCACCCGGGACTTCAACCAGCTCAACGAGCTGCAATGTCGCTTTCCCAGGCGCCTCGTGGTTCTCGGCTTCCCTTGCAACCAATTTGGACACCAGGTAAGGGGTTCCTCGGATTGTACCCAAAGAGTTGGTTGATGTAGCTGGAGCAATAGGATAATGGAGAGAATGATTGTGTGTGGAATATCTGGAATCGAGGGTCATGTTTTCCTCAGTCTAGGTCTAGGTCCATATGAAGTACCAAAGGGAAGTAGGTATGTTTTGAGATTAAAGAGGATGTGAGGGGTTTTTTGTTTTTGTTTTTGTTTTTTTTTGTCTTTTTGAGACGGGGTCTCCCTGTAGCCCCAGCTGTCCTGGAACTCACTATGTAGACCAGGCTGGCTTTGAACTCAGAGACATCACCTGCCGCTCGCTGTCTTCCAAGTGCTGGGATTAAAGGCCTGTGCCACCACGCCCAGCTGGATGTGAGGTTTTTATGAATGTCTTCCCAGAATATTCTGAGGGCTTGTACCAGGTCTGTTTTTCTCTCTGTTGTGTCCTTGGTGGGGTTCAAAGGTATTCATTAACTATTTGTTGAATGAATGAGTGGGGAAAATAGAAGCTTAAGAATCAAACAGGCCAGGCATAGTGGCACGTTCCCAGAATCATAGCTTAGGATGTGAGGTAGCAGCTGAGAATCACTGTGAGTCTGAGGCCAACCTGGGCCACACAGAAAGATATCTCAAAAAACAGCCTAGGGTTATAGCTCAGTTGGTAAAGTACTTGCTTAGCATACATGAAGCCCTGGATTTGATCCTAGCACTACAAAACCAGGTGTGGGGCACATGTAATCCCAGCACTTGGAAGTAGAGGCAGGAAGATCAGAAATTCAAGGTCATCTTCTGGCTAAAGCAAGTTTGAGGCCAGCCTGGTCTAGGAACCTTGTCTCAAAAAAGCAAAGAACTAAGTTAGAATGACAGTTACTTAGGAGTCCTGAGTTTCTGCTGCACTTGATACTACTCTGTTAAAGAAGGGCTCTGGCATCCTTGACAGAGGCTGCAAATTTTGTTTCAGTTTTCTCATCTGTAAATTGGACATGCCACTTGGCTCACAGGATTATTGTGAGGTTCATGGAGTAAGAGAGACAAAAGTAACTAGATGAATATAAAATACTGTGCAAATGCAAGCAATTGTATTATTTATATTGAAGGTTTGTTTTTATCAGCAAAAATGGAAAAAGAATAGAGGAAAAGGGAAAGGTTTGCCATGTGCACATGCCTCCTTTGGGCATCACATACACCGGGCTGTCTCTCAATAATGGGTCGTTATTACAGATCTTCAGCCCCCCACGCCTCTAGTTATCTTTTAGGGATTCTATTTCTACTTACTGTTTAACTGTTCAAGCAAGCCAGAGATCCCTAAGGAAACTCTCTAATTAGAATCCCTAGTTCAACTCAGTGGCATGAAGGAAAGGATCGGATGAGATGTACACTGCAATGATGAAGGGTTACTGACTGGTGATGTACATAGAAAGGATAAAGGATCATTATCTGGGAAGAGAGGTTTAAAAAGTGATTTTTTTCTGGCATTCAGAGGTTGTCAGGATGTGGATTGCTGAGTGGGCTAGGACAGGGACGGCAGGGGAAAAACAGGGAACAGGTTCTGAGCTAAAGCCTTCATAACTGAATACAGTGAGTGGAGCCGAGCTTCTGGAGTGCTTCTGGATAGCAGCTTAGGAGTAAAAGGAGTGATTACATATTCACAATCATCGCCCTTAAATACTTAATTGCTTAACATCCTCCCCAATCCCATTCTAGAGCAGACACTGTCCATTCTCTTTAATATATTCCTTTTGGTCACTAAATGGTTCCATTTGGTGTAAATTCCTTGTTGTTACTAACTTGCTTTGTCCTCAGTGCACCTGAAAACTAGACTTTCTTGATGCGGTCTTTCTTCTTTAAAGTATCCTAGTTGCATTTTAGTTCTAGGCAGGCAGGATGAGCGCTGAAGTTGTGCCATTTTCCTGGGTCTTACTTTCAGCCTTAACTTGTGAAGGATGACTTCCGCAAAGGCTGTACTTAACACACATGGAACTCCCCAGCAGAGAGGCACAACCAAGGCAGAGGAAAGAAAATGGGGGTAGGAAGTGTGCGTGTGTATGGTAGGTGAATGGGGAGGTGAATAGGTAGAAGGGAAGGTTCTATGTGGGGTAGCTTAGCCTCTTTTCCTTTTCTTCTCTTCCTGAACTCAGGGCTGCTTGAGGCTTCAAACAAATACTATTAACTGTTCTGGGTGGATTAGGGTGAGAAATAACAGCTCAAAAGTTCTATCTTGAATTACATTTATTTATTTTTATTGTGTGTGTGTGTGTGAGAGAGAGGGGGGGTGCGTGCTTGCCACAGTATCCATGTGGCAGTCAGAGGACAAACTGCAGGTCTCACAAGCCCCCAAAGTGCTGAATCTTTAAGTATAACAGTAGCCAAACCAGAACTTTAGGATATGGAGTAGCATATCATCAAGCAATGGCTGAGGGCTGGTGAGAGGTCTCCTCAAGCAGAGGTGCTTGCTGCCAAGCCTGATGACCTGAACTCAATACTCAGAACCTACATGGTAGAGGGAGAGAACAGACTCTCACAAGTTGTCTTCTGACTTCCACTTTTGCATTGTGGTATGTGCAAACACACACACACACACACACGTAAGTGCACCCATTTCATGCAATCTTCAAGAAGGTCAGAAGAGGGTATGATTTCCCTGTAACTTAAGTTAGAGATGGTTGTTAGCTGCCATATGGTTGCTGGGATTCAAACCGGGGTCCTCTGCAAGAGCAGCTCTCCAGCTCCAAAATATTTTTTAAAACCCAAATAATGGCTGGCAGAGAGCAGGGCAAAGCAAATGGAGAAGAAACATGCATGCAAAGAAAAGGATCCTGGGGAGTGTTGGAGGAATACCTGCAGTGGTGAGTCCTTGGTTGCTCTCCCCTTTCCCACGCTGCTCCTTGTCTTCTCCTCCAGGAGAACTGTCAGAATGAGGAGATCCTAAACAGCCTCAAGTATGTCCGCCCTGGGAGTGGATACCAGCCCACCTTCACTCTTACCCAAAAGTGTGAGGTCAATGGGCAGAATGAACATCCTGTTTTTGCCTACCTGAAGGACAAGCTTCCCTACCCTTATGATGACCCGTTCTCTCTCATGACCGATCCCAAGCTCATCATGTGGAGTCCAGTGCGCCGCTCAGATGTGGCCTGGAACTTTGAGAAGTTCCTCATAGGGCCAGAAGGGGAACCCTTCCGACGCTACAGTCGCACCTTCCATACCATCAACATCGAGCCTGACATCAAGCGCCTCCTCAAAGTTGCCATATAGATGTGAGCTGCTCAGCTATGGATCTTCCACTCCTTCCAGTCCCTAAGTATTCGTCCTCAGAATTCAGTGTGCCCTCAGGAAGCACACTTTCCTTTAATAATGACCTTAATCGAAGAACTTTGCCTTTCCTGTCTGCTTGTTTCCTTTTCCTCACTCAGCCCTCTTATCCTGCTTGGGGCTCTAAGACTGCGGTAGACTCTTGGGCCTTCACAGAATGATGGCACCTTCCTAAACTCATAAGGGCGATGTCTGAAAAGTGTGAAGGGCCTGGAGCCAGCCTGCTATTGGAGTCTAATAAAGGGCAGGTGTGGAAATAGCCTGGGTCTTTGTGTATTTTTTTATTTTTATTATTTTTATGTGTATGAGTGTATCGCCTGCATGTGAGTGCACCTGTGTCATGCAATGCCGTGGAGGTCAGAACAGGGCTTCGGATTCCCCTGGAACTGAAGTTAAAGATGGTTCGTAGCTGCCATGTGGGTACTGGGACTAGAACCTGGGTCCTCTGCAAGAGCAGTCAGTGCTAACTGCTGAGCCATCTTTCCAGCCTTTGTGTATTTTTTGGTGTGTGTGTGTGTGTGTGTGTGTGTGTGGTCAGAGGGCAAGTTTTAGAAACTGGTTCTCTCCTATTGTGTGTTCCAGGTATTGAACCTAGATCCTCAGCCTTGCACAGAAAGTGCTTCTACATTCTGAGCCATCTTGCTGGCCCTGTGTCTTCTTTCTTGACAGAGGGTGGAGGGGAAGAACTGTAGTGACACAGAGGGGCTGGTAGCACATGAAGGTTTGGTAGAGGGAGGCTGTGATCAAGAGGATACCCAGTTACTGTTGGAAAGGAGGCTGTAGTCAAGGTCTGCAGTGACAGATGGAGTTGCAGGAAATGTGGACTTACCATTTTATGGTTCTTTGCCAGAACTGAGGAAAAAGGGAAGTATTGAAGTAAAGGATAGTAGGCCCCTTGGCTAAACATACTGGAAGGCTGTTAGATTACAATCAGGAAGGCATCACATTATTGTGGGGTAGTGGGCTAATTACACATTACCTGTACCTTGAGAAATTCCATGAAGACAACTTGGTCACCTTTTACTGATAGCAGGGGCATAGAAAGGCTACAAAGGCTATACATTACCAGGAACACAAAGAGTACTTTACTTTTGTGTTGATTACTTTGTTAAATTTTTAAAAATTACATTTATTATTATTGTATATGTTTGTCTGTGTATGTATGGATGTGTGTGTGCTGTGGCAGGTGGAGGTCAGAGGACAACTTGCAGGAATTGGTTCTCTCCACCATATCGGTTCTGGGGATTGAATTCAGGTCATCAGGCTTGGGGGCAAGGGTCTTTAACTCACTGAGCCATGAGCCATCTCTTTTTTTTTGTTTTTTGGTCTTTTTCAGACAGGGTCTCCCTGTAGCCCCAGCTGTCCTAGAACTCACTATGTAGACCAGGCTGGCCTTGAGATCCACCTGCCTCTACCTCCTGAATGCTGGGATTAAAGGCCTACACCACCACGCCCGGCTCTCTGTCTCTTTTCACATTCTACTTTGTTCTTTTCAAGCTCATATACTCACAAGTTCAGAAACAAGCTGAGCAAACAGAGGCATGAATGACTGGGTTCATTTCTTTTTCATAAAGTGGGGACTAAAGAGGACACATACAGGCGTGATTGATTGCATTAGTTTCCTCCATGAGGGTGGGGAAGTTCTTCCTTTGAGAGCTAGAGTTTATTTCTCCATTTTTTGTTTTTAAATTTTTATTTTATGTGTATGTGTATTGCCTGTATGTATGTAAGTACACACCCATATAATGCCTGGGGAGGCCAGAAGAGGGTGTTGGATTCTCTGGAACTGGAGTTAAGGGCGGTTGCTATCTGCCATGTGGGTGCTGGGAACCAAACCTGGGTCATCTGGAAGAGCAGCCAGAGCTCCTAACTGCTGAGCCATCTCTCCAGCCCCATTTTTTCCCCCACTTATTTAAAGACAGGACCTCACTATGTAGTCATGGTTGACCCAGAAAACTCTATAGACCAGGCTGGTCTTGAACTCAGAGCATCATCTGCCTCTGTCTCGAGTGCTGGGATTAAAGGTATGTACAACTAATGCCTGGCTGAAAGCTAGAGTTTATAATGCATCCACATGATGGATGCTCACTATGAGAACAGTTATGCCAAAGGCGTTGTAAGAATGGTGTCCCAGATTCCTCATCCAGTGTTAAGCACAAGCAAAACATATCAACACCAAGGACAGGTTCTATAGTGTTCCAGAGAAGATACCCACTGAGAGGCTCTGGTCTGATCACTTTGCTTCATAAGCCTCATCGTGGAGTCTTTCCATTACATTTTCCCCTTTGGCCACTAGATGGAACATTTTTTCACTGAAGCCGTCAAGGGACAGTTCTCCAAACCAGACATAATGCTCCAGGATGCCAATAATGATGATGGTTTCCTTTTAATCTGCTCCTCATAACCATTTCCCAAGCATTTGCATCATTTGAGAAGCAAATGTGGAACACAGGTTAATGATCCCCACTGTCTGAGCTTTAATTAAAGTTTTGTCATTGACAGTACTTTATTTCAAAGGGTACTTTATTTCAAGAGTGTTATAGTGGGAATGCCCTGATATCCTTCTACAGGGCCTTCTGCTAAATTAAGGTTGCCCTCAGCTTGGCTCTTGAAAACTCAGCCTTTAGATTCCTTATCTGAAAGCCAACAGCTGGCATATAAATTCTTTTGAGGAAGGACTATGCACTAATTTTAGAGCAGTAGCAACAGGGACAAATTCCTTTGCGGTGGAATGAACTAGGGCATTGGTGTTGGATGATACAATGATTTTCTCATCATCTTGATAGTGCTTGTTGGTACATCTGATAACACAGCCAGTTATCCTGTCCACTATCCTGAATGTTGACATTATGCCACTGGCAACTTAGGGCTTGATGTACCAGTTGGAGCTTTCTCATGTTAGTTGAATGAATAATTTAGGGATTCTAGAGGAATGGGAATTTCAGTTAAATGATTTTGCAGAAAGTCAAAAGGGGCAATAATGCTACAAAGAGGGCTCCTCATTTGGGCAGGGGTAACATGTTTGTTCAGACAGGACCTGCCCAGTTTTTCTCAGGATACAGAGATGCAGGATGACAGGAACCTCTGGCTTTACTAAATCTTTCATCATGTTATTGTTAAAATGACTTGTATTTTTTTCCTCTATTCTTCATCTCACTTGTTCCCATTTTCATCCACAGCAGCAGCTTATGGTCATCAACAGGCAACAAACTCTTTTAATCAAATTGCCCCAGGGACACTCAGAAGTAGGAAGAAGTCTCATTAATAAGCTCTGGCAGAAGTGCTGAGGTAATGTTGCTCAATTTAGAGGAATGACAGAAAATCACTTCTCTACAAGCTCTTACAAAAAAGCTGGAAGAAGCTGATTCTAGGAGGCTAAAATATGCAGGCTGAAATTGATGATTATCTTTATAACTATGCTCTATAGCTACATCTTAGGGTAAGAAACACTGAGTCAAACTCTAGAACTTTCTTATAAACACCATGACAACTATAAAGTACCAGTTACTGAATATTACCTATGCTTGCATACTATACTAAATGCTTTGACTATATTAGGCTATTTATCTTCACATGGACCTTATGAGGAATTAACTCTATTTAAAGAGAAGGTAGTTGGAATAAGGGTTGAAAGCTGAAACCGGGTAAGTCTGATTCTCAAGCATCTACTCTTACCATAAGACACAGCACCTCCTTTTAGCTCAGGTTTCCCTTATAAAGACCATCAAGAGTTGCTTGCAGGTAGCACTGCACAACTTCAAAATACTTTTCATTTGCACTTGAGCATCTGAGGTTAAAATCCTACAAAGGAGGCATAATTGTTTCCATTGTTCCACTGAACAGACAGAAGTGTAGACAGGTGAACTGACCACACTGTTTCACTATCAGCAAGTGGCAAAGCTAATTCTAGATTGTGCTCTCTCAATTTTCTTTCTTTCTTTTTTTTGGTCTTTTTGAGACAGGATCTCCTTGTAGCCCCAGCTGGCCTGGAACTCACTATATAGACCAGGCTGGCCTTGAACTCATAGAGATCGCCTGCCTCTGCCTCCCAAGTGCTGGGATCAAAGGCATGCTCCACCATGCCCAGCTGATTTTCTTACGCCTGTAGTCCCAGCACTTGGGAGGCAGTGGCAGGTGGATCTCTGTGAGTTCAAGGCCAGCCTGGTCTACATAGTGAGTTCCAGGCCAGCTGGGGCTACAGGGAGACCATCTCAAAAAGACCAAATAAAAAAATGTATTTTATTTTTATTTTATGTGTATGACTGTATTGCCTGCATGTACGTAGGTACACCCATGTCATGCAATGCCCACAGAGGTCAGAAGACGGCATCAATTCCCAGGAACTGGAGTTACAGATGGTTGCCAACTGTTAGCCACCATGTGGGTGCTGGGGATTGAAGCCAGGTCCTCTGCAAGAGCAGCCAGTGCTCTTAACCACTAAGCCATTTCTCCAGCCCCCTCTCTTGATTTTTTTTTTATACCCAACTACACAATATCTCAAAATACAGACTTGTAAGCTGGGCATAGTAGTGTACACCTTTAATCCCTGCACTTGGGAGGCAGAGGCAGGTGGATCTCTGTGACTTCAAGACCAGCCTGATCTGCATAGCGAGTTCCAGGTCAACCAGGGCTACATAATAAAACCTGGTCTCAAAAATAAATAAAATAAAAATTAAAAATAAAATAATATTTTTAAAATTTAAAAAGCCAATTTTGGGGGTTAGAAGATGGTCAGCAGTTAAAAACTCTTGCTGCTCTTCCAGAGGATCCAAGTTCAGTTCCCAGCACCCACATTGGGTGGCTCACAACTGCCTATAACTCTAGCTCCAGGGGATCTGACACACCCTTCTGGCTTCAAACTCAGACCAATACATATGTGGCACAAACACACACACACACACAAATCAAAATACGTCTTTAAAAATAAAAAGCCTATTAGCTAGACTACTGATTTGTACATCATAAGGTGAATGAAGATAATGCGATGTCAGGACCAGAGGACACTTCTCCTAACTCTCACAGATGGTTTCCTTACCTTCTTGTATCTAAGGAAGGGAAGTAAAGACCAATGAATTTGTAGTTCCCATTTATTCGAGCAGAAAGAGAAACTAGTGGAACTCAGTTCGAGAGACCTTTTTTCTATTAGACCCACAGAATTTCCAAAGTTGATTAAAATATCACAAAACACAGCACTAAGATGGTAAAATAACAAACAAAAAAAATAGGATCTTGTGTTTAAAAATTTTGGACTCCATATCCAAAACAAAGAGACAATTTTGTATATTCTGCAGCAGATGAGGGGAGGGCAGGGGCATGTATGATCATACTCTTCAGCTTCAAATGGCTAAGAAGCATTAGCAAACTCCAAGAAGGGACAACTCGGAGGCTATAACAGGTTTGCTGCTGCTATTTAAAGAAATGAAGCATTTTCTCTGCTTTTGGATTCATTTCACCAAACGGTTTCCTCAGCAGGTCAGATATAGATTTGTAGCAAAATGGAAAACATTTTCCAGGAATAAACCAACTGGTCCATATAGAGTAGCTGACTTAACTTTTCTCAACAATATATCTTTACCCCTCCTGCCCAGATTCCATGGAGTGCTGTCCCACCCTGAACCAACCTCTCCTAACCTTGGCAAGCCTTTCTACCTTGTTTACCCAAAATATTCCTGAGAGGGACTCACTGTAGTAGCTGAGTGACCTTGAGCAGGTTATTTAAGTCTTAGCTTTTTGTGCTTTGAAAACTGGACTAAGAGTGGTACCTATCATCTCATGGCAGTGGTAAATAAGTGTTTTAAATGCCATGGCACACAGCAAGTACTCAGTAAACACCAGATATTATTAATATTGCTATAACACAGAAAAACCTTTCCCTGGTATCAACATTGTACACACTGCTCCCTTTTTTGTATGCCTTAGTACAGACTTGCTAACTCTCTTAGACGATGAAATAGTTTCATTCCTAATGCCTGTTCCCTTAAGCTTTGGTTCTGGACTAAGACCTGAAGGCACATATTGTATGTAGCACTTTGTAGGCTTTCCAAAGTATTTTGTAGTCACGAATTCATTTGGATCTCCTAGTAATACTCCAAAGGGAGTACAATACCAAGTACTTTTAGCCCCATTGTATAGAAATGGGACACTCAAGTCCAGAGATACATTCTGCTTGATGGCTATACTGCTACCAAATGGTAGAGGGGCCTTAATGTCAGCTAATGACCGCCAAGCCAGTGCTCTTTCAGTCATGCACATAACACGTTCTAAGCGCCCTTCAGAGCAAATAAAATTTTTTTATTCATTTATATTTACTCAGATTTTTCTGGTTTCTACATGTCTTTTTCTGGTATAGGCTCCACTTAGGACATTATATTTAGTCATTATGCCCCCTTAGCCTTCTTGACTGTAACAGTTTCTCAGAGTTTCCTTGTTTTTGATGACCTTGATAGTTTTAAGAGCTATTCGCTGGGTGAGGTGGCTAATGTCTGGTATGGTAGCTAATGTTTTTAATCTCAGCACTCTGGAGGCAAAGGCAGGTAGATCTCTGTGAGATTATGGCCAGCCTGGTCTACACAGATCCAGGCTGTTAGTTCCAGGTCATCTGGTATGGGCGTGCAGGGATCTTGGAGTGCCAGCTGCTGGGCGTGGCGCTGGTCTCCTGCGCGCACCTGGGGTGCGGCGGGTCCTGCACCGCGTCATTGTGGGTCTCTGCTATCGGGGCTGGCCCGGTCGGATTCCGTCCCAATCCACCGTGCACTCTCTCTCTAAGTTCGGGACCCGTCAGCTGCCGGGTCACGAGGGGAGGTGCAGGACGGTGAAAGCTGGATTTCCGTGAGTCAGTTTACGAAGAGACAGCTCTCCCCGGAGAGGCAGGATCACACACAGAACTCAGCTCAGTCAGTGGTACAACCCCTTTATTCAGTGACTTAGCTCGGCTCCAGGCCTTAGTGATCCAGCTCCGATTATTGAGGGAAAACCAGGATACTTTATACTGTGGGGGTAGTGGTAAAAGCCTTAGCTGATAGGTACTTTGTGGGATGCCCTATTTACATATGGAAGTGGGCTCCTGCCAGGCTGTCAGACTGCCTGAAAATCACACAGGAAAAGCTGGCAGTTCCAGAGCCGGAGGCCATGGCTACTTCAAAAGATGAGTCAGGAAGATGCTGGGAAGGCACCCTGCTGATAAAAGGAGTCTCTGCATATGAAGCCGAGCCCATAGGCTATCCGGACATGGAGAGACTGCTACTTTACACAACAGGGGTCCCCAACAATCTGGGGCTACAGAGAGACTGTCTTAAAACAAAACAAAACAACAAAAGAATTTACTTCAATTTACATTTGCGTACATTTTTTCTCATGATAAAAACCAGATGGGGAGGAAAACCACAGAGATTTTCACATTGTATCATAAGGGTACCTGATATGAAGACAGCTTACCAATGATATTAACCTCAATCACCTTAGTGTTTGTCCATTTTTCTCTACCATAAACCTACTCTTTGAGACAGGGTCTCATTATGTAGCTCTGGCTGGCCTGGAACTCTCTATGTAGACCAGGCTGGCCTCAAACTCAGAGAGATCTGTCTGCCTCTGCCTCCTGAGTGCTGGATTAAAGATGTGTGCAACCATACCCAGCTCCATAAAGTTACTCTTTTTTTCATTTTATGTGATGAGTAATGTGTGTAAGTGCACCTGTATCGTGCAGTGCCCATGGAGGTCAGAAGAGGGTGTCAGATCCTCTGAAACTAGAGTTAAGGATGGTTGTTAGCTGCTATATGAATGTTGGGAATTAAACCCAGGTCCTCTGCAAGAGCAGCTAGTACTCTTAACCACTGAGCCATCTCTCCAGCCCCCATTAAGTTACTCTTTATCTTGCTTTCCCATGTTCTACTCTTCTTTGAAAGAAAGTCACAGAACCTACACTGACAAAGTAGGACTATACAGGAAATATGTGAAAAATTTTTTCCATGGGAAATCTAGCCACCCATCCATCTATTCATCTATCCATCCATCCTTCCTCTCCTCCCTCTTTCTCTCTTATTTATTCATTCATCCATTTATCCATCAAATCACTGATATTGGCACAGGCTCGTGAACATTTATTACATACTCTGGGTTATAATCCAATACTTCACTGATTTTCAAATTACTCCAGTTATGTTCACTCAGAGCTCCTTCAGTTAGCTCCTCTGTCTGACAGTACTTAATCACTGTTTTTTTTATTTAAAGACTAGGCATGGTAGTGCATGCCTTTAACCCCAGCATTTGGAGGTAGAGACAGGCAGCTCTCTGTGGGTTCAAGGTCAGCCTGGTCTACACACTGAGTTCCAGGCCAGCCAGGATTATACAGTGAAATCCTATCTCAAAAAAAATTTTTTTAAAAAAGCATTTCCTAGCCAGGTGCGGTGGCACACGCCTTTAATCCCAGCACTTGGGAGGCAGAGGCAGGCGGATCTCTGTGAGTTCGAGGCCAGCCTGGTCTCCATAGTGAGTTCCAGGACAGCTGGGGCTACAGGGAGACCCTGTGTCAAAAAGACAAAAAAAAAAAAAAAAGCATTTCCTTTTTTGTGGCACAAAATTCCCCAGGTAGAACTCCTGCCCTATTCTATCAGTCATTTTTGCAAGGAGTCCTGGGTTCCTTTGATAGGAAGCAAAGATCTAGGTGCTGAGCGTGCATACATTCTAGTTATTTTCCAGCCAAATAACTATTAGCAAAGACGTGTCACTCTGGCTGCATACACGAAGGTGTGCAAGGGACTTTAGCAGAAGAGCTCAACTCTAGGAGCCAACATTACCCCAAATTACTTTTTTTTCAAAGAATATTTAAGTCTAAGCAGGAAAGCAAACACACAAAGAACTGTCATTATCAGACAAACCATTAGGCTTGCTCTATTGCAAACCAGCCCAACACAACACAGAGCAGAACTGCAGGAGTCTCAGAATAACAGAGTCATTTGTCGGGGGTCATCAGGGAGAATACTGATAGTATCTTCGGCTTTGCCACATAATAGACACAGCATGGTATATTCCTAGAACAAGACAAAGTGCAAAATTACCTCAAGGGACAGGGAGAAAGATGATTTATAAACAATTGCTCAGTAAAGTTCTTCGCTACAAATTGTCATTAATGTTCTTCCTGTACATAAGATTAATTTCTTCAACACTTATTAGATATGTTTTGGGTTTATTCTGCACACTCCCAGAGCCTTTTGATTATATAGACTCAACACATGATGATGTTCTCATTTATTATGTATATATGCCACTTTGAAAATGCATGGCTATGCTGGGCATAGTGGTGCACACCTTTAATCCCAGCACTTGAGATGCAGAGGCAGGTGGTCTACATAGAGAATTCCAGGCCAGCTGAGGCTACAGGGAGACCCTGTCTCAAAAAGACCAAAAAAAGGGAAAAGAAAATGCATGGCTATTTCTTGGACTTAAAAGCATATCTACTGAACTTGGTATTTCTGTTTAAAGTAATGATGAAATTTGGGCTGAGGCTGTATGTACCTCAGGTGGTAAAGTGCTTGCCTAGCATACATGAGGTCCTGGGTTCAATTCTCAGCACTGGACAAACTGGGCACATGGTGGCACATACCTGTAATACCAGAAATCAGGAGGTGGAGGCAGGAGGAGTAAGAGTTCAAGGTCTGCCTGGACTACATGAGACTTTGTCTCTAAAAAAATGAACAAGGGCCAATGAAATGGCTCAGGTAAAGGCACTTGCCAGACAAGGTTGGCCACCTGAGTTTGATTCCATGAAAGAAAGGACGGACTCCCAGAATTGTTCTCTGACCTCCACATATGTTCCATGGCACCCATGCACATCATACACACATGCACGCACACACACACTCCAATAAATAAATAAATGAAATATAATGAACCTCTTTTAAAAATGAATAAAGTAATGAAGCAATTTGAGTGTATGTCTCTAAGGACAAATTTCTGGTCTTAGAGCCATTCTTTTTTGGATATGTATTTAACAACAATATGTAACCAGAACGGAAAAAACAAAATTCTCAAACTGAAAAGGCTATCAGGAAAATAGATAATTATGATAAATTCACCAGCATGCCATGCCTCATACTTAAATAGTTAACTGACTGGGATTTCGTCTATTTAAGGTATTTAAGGAGTTTTATGTGTCTTGCACTTAACAAATGTCTAGACTGGTGGCAGAAGGGATTTTATTTTAAGTAAAAGTCCTTAGGGCAAAGTCTTGTTCTTATAGCTCTATCAGGAAAATAGATAATTATGATAAATTCACCAGCATGCCATGCCTCATACTTAAATAGTTAACTGACTGGGATTTCGTCTATTTAAGGTATTTAAGGAGTTTTATGTGTCTTGCACTTAACAAATGTCTAGACTGGTGGCAGAAGGGATTTTATTTTAAGTAAAAGTCCTTAGGGCAAAGTCTTGTTCTTATAGCTGTCACTGACTTTTTTTTTTTTTAATTTTTATTGAAAATATTTTTATTTTATTTAGGAAAACAAACATCTATGTTGAATCTATTAGTATTTCTATACCTGATATTGGATTGCTAGCTGTCTAGAAACGGATCAGTCAATTTGTGTTTCTTTGGTCTGGACAGTTGCTAGAGAGGACTGCAAGCTAAATAGTGACAATAGCACCAAGACTGAAAAGAAGACAGGTGCCTTTCCATTTCTACTCGTGAGTTCAAGGAGGGGAAAGTAATAGTGACAACAGAAAGAATGCTTCTTAAGGACTACCCTGGAGTAGTCTATTACTATTACTCAATTAAGTTTCAGTGCTGGGGATCAAACCCAGGGCTTCATGTGTGCTAGGCAGGCACCATAACACTGAGGTACACCCCTGGCCCCCATATTTTAAGGCCTTGTCTACACACTTAGAGAAGTACCCAGAGGCTAAAGCTTAAAGAACAAGTACAACTCATGGGCTTAAAATACAATAAAAATCTACGCTGTCTCCAAGGTCTTTTACTGCTGCCAATTACTTCTACTGCTTAAACTCACCAGAGATTACTATTGCGGGGTGGGGGGGGGTAATCTCTCACAGGAAATGAAGAAAAAGGTAGCAAAATGTGGTGTGATGATATACACCTGAAATCTTGTACTTTTTAACTGAGTTGGAAGCTGGGCTACATAGTAAGACCCTGTCTTAATTGTGCACATGCACACATACACAACACACACACACACACACACACATACACACATGCATGAAAAAAGTAATGGAGTTAAAAAGTGAAAATGTGTGATGCTACACAGAGCTGGGTTTTTGAGTTAGATATATATCTCAGTTGGTAAAGTGCTTCCCTTGCAAGCACGAGGCTTTAGACTTGATCCCCAGGACTTCCCGACAGAACAAAACCCCAAACAAAACAGCAACAAAATAAAAGTGTTTAATTTTGAAAAAGCTGAGTTTTCAACCAACCTAGCCTTTGTCAAGTTCATAGTCAATGCTTAAATGTGTGACATATACTGGGAAGACACAAAAGAAGGCAGGGACAATTTGACTTTTGCAAAACTCATAATCTAACCTGGGAAAAGCAAAAAAGAAACTCAGCTGATGATATGACCTGGTGAGGTTATTAAATCAGTGAGACTGATTATACTTGCAATCTTTGGAATTAAAATTTCATTGTAAGTCAACCATTTGGAATTCAAAAGCAGTCTTCCTTGGAAGTCATGCTGTATATGTGGCAGGTTCCTGGGAAGATCCACAAGTCTTTTAAATGTGTATTGTACGAATGCCACAGAATCTAGCTGTATATTTCAGTGTTTCTGTAGGAAAATATGCTTAGAAGTCCAACTTGAGATGTCAGGAACACAACTCCCGGTCTTCCAGGAATGTGGTAAGATTAAGACACCTTTTACTAAAACTGGCCACGTGGGAGAATTACAGCCCTCATTCATTCATAGGAGCCTGAAAGGTTCCACCTGGGCAGGGCTGGGGATGGATTTGGAGGAAGGGTGGAGGGGCTGGAGTCTCCTGAGTATATGACCAGACCCTCTGTTCATGCAGAGGGTCCCATGGCTTTTTCCCTGACTTCTGATCCTATGTCCTCTCCTGCCTCACAGAGGAACAAAAAGCAGCCTTCCAGCTTCCGGTGTTTCCTATAAACACACTGTTCATTTAAGGGCTTTGTAAGGGAATTTTTTTTAAATAAAGGAAACCTATAATGATTTGTAACGTATTTTTCTGCTGAATGATTTAATTCTCTCTTTTCATTCTCCCCTTATGGTTTTGCCATTAGAAAATCTTACCCTTTTCAGTAATGCTACTACTGGTTTTTTAAAAATACAGAAATCTCATCTTTCAGAAATAAAAGTCATAGTGATACATTTGGATAACTGACCGTGGGGTGGAGGTTAGCTGTGTGTGTGTATTCGTGCACATTCCCTACAGGAGTGAGAGTAGAGGTTTCAGATCAGAGAACAATAATCAGGGGGATCAGGTAAAACAGGAGAGGAAAGGAGGGGAAAGACAAAGCAGCAGCTAAAAATAATTTTTAAAAAAGGGGGAAAAAAGCCAAGTAGTACAGACTTCAAGAGAGGAAATGCTTAAGAAGACAATGGTTAGTTAATAAGAGCAGGTTGGGGAGGTACTGAGAGTTAAAAACAGAGGCAAAAGTTACAGGATTTGGGCAGATTATAGGAAATTGATGGGTGAGTAGTTTTAAACAAGGGAAAGTAAAAGCCATATTGCAGGAAGTTAAGAGAACCCTCAGGAGAAAAGGAAAGGGGGTGAAGGACATAGTCAAAGCTCAGCAGTGGTGTGGGCTCATAACCCAGCACTGGGGAGGGGGGCAGGAAAACTGCTAGTGCCACGCAAGGAGGCAGTCTCAAACAGAAAAGGGAAAAAACTATTGAAGGAAAGAAGCAAAAGGAAGGAGATATTAAAAGGAAGTAAAGAGGTGTTTCCAAAAAGGATCACAGAAGAGTGAAATAAATGAGTTTGGGGGCTGGAGACATGGCTCAGTGATTAGGAACACTGGCTGTTTGCAGAAGACCCGGGTTTGAATCCCAGCACCCACACGGCAGCTAACAACTGTCCATAACTCTAGTTCCAGGGGATCTGACAGCCTCTTCTGTCCTCCTCAGGCATTGCACAAGGGTGCACTTACCTTTGTGCAGGCAATACACGCATATACATAAAATAAAAATAATAAAATATTTTTAAAAAGAAATGAGTTTATATTTACTTTTGACAAATAAGGAGCTAAGAACGCTTCATACAATTTTTAAAGATTTTATTTTTCTTAAATTATGTGTATATGTATGTGTCTGTGTGTGGGTTTGTGCATACGAGTGCAATGCCCACAAAGGCCAGAAGACAACACCAGATCTCCTTATGATATAAATTTATAACGCTAAAAACGATGCTGGAGAGAGACAATAATATCCCTCAGAAAATGAGGTAGAGTAGTATCAGAGGAAGAAATAACAACCTTCCTCTCCAACAGAAGAGAGAAGAGAGGCTAATGCTGGAACAGCACTATGGTATATGTCAGGAAGAGCTGGGGAGGTAACAGAAAAGAGGAGATGGGTCAGTCCCATGAGATCCTTGGAACCAGGAGCTTGGGCATTACACTGTGGCAACAGTGAAGGGCTAACGAGGCAATATAAAATGGCACACGCCTTTAGTCCCAGTACTGGGGAGGCAGAGGCAGGCAGATCTCTAAGTTTGAGGCCAGCCTGGTCTCTATAGTGTACCCAGGCCACCTGGGGCTATAGGGAGACCCTGCCTCAAAAAGACCAAAAAAAAAAAAAAACCACAAAACAAAAAAACAACTAGTCCGCTAGAGAGTGCCTGAGAACCCAGGGGACAGCCTGACAGCCCCAGGATCCTGCCTCCACATGGTGGTCCTTTTAATAAGAAAGATGCTATACAGCAGTCCCTTCTGCATGAAATAACCACCATCATCATGACTTCGGCTGAGCCTGATTGCTAAACACAGTAACAACTGGGCTTGCTGATGGTTGTACTCATTCATTAAAGGAGTGCCAAGCAGGGTCACTGGACCCTCACCCAAGTATCCATCCAGCCACTCTTCCCAGCCAACTACCAGCCTTGGAAGACAAAAGAAAAATGAGGAAGACCCCAACAGAGGGATGCTTTTGGAAGCTCTTGTCAAGAAACTCCAATGGACTTTCATATGAACATTTGAAAATTGCCCTGTTATGACTTTTTTCTAGTTCCCTCTCTAGAACTCGTAATGCTAATTACTCTTGCCTTTACTTCTTCACATCTCCCATTCATGATTCAAGGACTTTCTTCCCTTAGAGACAAGAGATATGCAAATTGGGAGTCTTTTAGATAACCCAGTGAAGGGGTCCTCCAGCTGCCTTACCCTGTGTCCCTGCCTGTTCAGCATGGAAAAGCCAGAGCATTAGGAGTCCCTATTCTCTATTGGCAATTTGGGTAACCCTTTTTCTTGGCTAAAAGTCAAAATGTCCTTGGGCCTGTTAGCAACATACTCTGTTCCAAAGGCCAAAAGTGTCAAAATGTCAAAAGTATTTGGAAGCTTGCATCTAATCCTTAAAAGATTTTAGGGTTACCTCTTCAGAGGGGGGAATTTTGGAGGGGAGGGAGTGGGCATGGATTTGATCTAAACACCTTATATACATGTATGAAATTCTTAATAAAGTTTTTGTAAAAATTAAAAAAACAAAAACAAAAAACAACTGACGGCAGAGTACAGAATGTGGGTTGAGAGAACAGATATTGGTAAAAGACTGGAGGTAGAGAGCCAAGTTTAAGAGATTTTTTTTTTTTCAGAGGCTGGGCGTGGTGGCACATGCCTGTAGTCCCAGCACTTGGGAGGCAGAGGCAGGTGGGTCTCTGAGTTTCTGGCCAGCTGGGGCTAAGGGAGACCCTGTTTCAAAAAGACCAAAACAAACAAACAAAAAAACCCAAAAGAAAACAAATTTTTTCAGGAGGTCTGGCAATTATCTTGGCATTATGGCTACAAGCTATCTTTCTTTCCCTATCTTTTTTCCCCTGCCCAGAGTAATTTCTGGGACTGTTCTAAAGTGGCTGCATTCAGTCATAAGGGAAAATGAGCTAGACTCTGGTCTCATGGAAGTCATTTACAATGGCTCTCTTAGGACATAAACAGGCAATCTCAATATCCATTCAGGGGTTTTAAAGGGTTCACATGTACTTAAGGAAAATAGCTGTCAGTACTGCTTTCCTCTCATAAAAGTCAGAGCTGTTTTATGAAACCCTTGAGGTCCCCCTTTCCCTATTTGGCCACTAACATTCTGAGATTTTGATTTTGCCCTAAGTCACATAAATCATATAAATTTTTTAAGGTATACATTTTGGATACCGAAGAATTATAGTCAAGGTGTTACTTAAATTAACTACAACCTTTCAGACCAGACCCTGATATATGACTACGTTCTTTCTTCCATGTTACAATATGAATGAATCATAGGTATTATAGTAGTTTATTATTCTGTTGTGGCAGATTATTTTTTATTTTCCTAATAATAAAATACTATCCAAATTTGAAGGACACTATTGAGCAACTTTTTTTTTTTTTTTGGTCTTTTGAGACTGAGGGAACATTTGTAAAGCATATATTTTGATTTGTGATTCTTGTGAGGTTGCACAGATCCACCTACACTTAAAGTTTCCCAGCTTGCAAAAGTAAAGATAAGGGTGGTCTCCTTTAGTAACTGCTAGTACTTCATTACAAAAACTACATGAGGGGCTGGGTGTGGTGGTGCATGCCTTTAATCCCACCACTCGGGAGGCAGAGGCAGGTGGTCCTCTGTAAGATGGAGGCCAGCCTCATCTACATAGGGCGATCCAGGCCAGCTGAGGCTACAGGGAGACCCTGCCTCAAACTTCCCTGCTTCTCCAAAACCCAAATAAACAAAAATTGTACGTAGATTCTCAAGAATACTTTTATTCTTTGTTCCCTCCTTAATAACCTTCCTCTTCTTCTTCCTCTCTCTCCTCTCTCTCCTCCCTCTCCCTCTCTCTCTCTCTCCCTCTCTCTCTCTCTCTCTCTCTGTACTTACCTGAAATTCATCCATGATACTGAAGGTATACTCATGTCTGGCTACTACATGATGACAATTCTTACACAGATCTGCCAAAATAAAGAGAAACTTATGTAATTGAATCTTGGGAAAATTTATTAAAATAATGACATTTCTCAGCATACAATGCTTAAAAAGAACCTTAGCTCTTGCCAGGTATGGTGGCGCGTGCCACCCAGCACTTGGGAGGCAGAGGCAGGTGGATCTCTGTCAAGGTCAGTATGGTCTACATAGTGTGTTCCAGGCCAGCTGGGGCTACAGGAAGACCCTGTCTCAAAAAGACCAAAAAAATAAAAAAAGAACTTTAACTCTGTCATACTTAACATAGTAGGTAACCCATTATAATAATGGCCCTAATAAGAAAGCTAAGGGGCTAGAGAGATGGTTTAGTGGTTAAGAGCAGCATGCTGCTCTTGCAGAGGACCTGATTTCAGTTCCAATACCTGATTTTTGGTGGCTCACAACCGTCTACAACTCCAGCTTCCTCTGCAGGCAATGACACTCATATGCACATATCCATATACAGGCACACACACATACATATAATTCTTTTAAAAAGAAAAAAAATAAATCCAGTATCTGTCACACAACAACGCTGCATAATTAATATGTGCACACTGAGCCTTTCAGCTCAGTGTGCACATATTAATTCCCATTGAAAGTTCTCTAAGGTATTAAACCCTTAATACTCGGGTTTTGTTTATTTATTTTTGTGGTACTAGGGATTGAACCTATGGCCTTGCATATGCTAGGCAAATACTTTACTATAGAGTTATATCTCCAGCCCTCTGGTCACTTTTATTTTGAGACAGGGTCTCACTAAGTTGCCCAGGCTGGATTTGAACTCATTTTGTAGCCCAAGCTGGTCTTGAACTTTCAACTTCCCAAATAATTAGGCTAGGGCTGGCAAGACAGCCCAGGAGGTAAAGGAGCTTGCTACCAGGTAGCTGGGATAACAGGCTTATGCTACCAGGTCCAGCACTTAGTGTGATTCTTTAAAAAATATTTTATTATTTTCATTTCATGTGTATGAATGTACTGCCTGCATGCACGTAGATGCGCTTGTGTTGTGCAATGCCCTTAGGGTCAGAAGAGGGCATCAGATACCCTGGAACTGGAGCTACCGACAGCTGTCAGCCACCAAGTTGGTGCTAGGAATCAAACCCAAGTTCTCTCCCAGAGCAGCCAGTGCTCTTAACCACTGAGCCATCTCTCCAGCCCTTAAGTGTAATTTTTAAACTAGTTGGACCTATTGCTTTTATTCTCAGGGATAATAAATGTGCAACTGCATCTAATCATAAAGGAAATCAATGGTGGACACTAAAGTGAATTTAATGGTAGCAGAGGAATCTACTAAAAATAACAAATAAGTTTGTGCCAGATACTTTTTAAAATACTTTTTACCTAGTTACTTAAACTTCTCATACTCAGTGAGATATATATTATCATTATCAGAAATAAGGAAACAAAGGCACACCGTGGTTAAGTAAATAGGACGATTACTAGGCTAGGAGGTTTGGAGGCAGAATTCTGACCTAAGCAGTCCAGTTCTAGAATGCTAATTCTTAACCACTATGTCCTACTATCTGAAACAAGATACACCTTAAAGTGAACATGTGCTTTAAAAGGAAAGTGAAGATCCCTTTTGGAACGTGTTTCAATTGTCTGAGCCTATTCTAAGATCTTGGTGTTTTTCATACTCATCTTTCAAAATATTATCTGTATACTTACATATTCAGAATATATCCAAGAACAGGAAACAAGCAAAAAGGAGATGTGAGAAGTTTAAATATTTGTCACAATGTCCAGGTGATGATGTATACATATGCTTACTTTACCCACCAATCCCAATACTCAATTACTTATAATTACACATTTGGTTTCCCAGTACTGAGGACAGGAAGGCACCAGTTATTAAAGCAAACAAAGAAACAAGAGATGGACTGTGAGAAAAGAGACCCAAAAGAGCATAAAAGCGAAACAAAACAGAAAACATCAAAGCATCCAGGGTCATAAGGCATAGAGTCAAAGAGCCCTCAACTAACTCTCCCTCCCTCTCCTACTCCCCCCTCCATTTTCCTTCCTCCTTTCCTCTCCCCTGCTTCCTTTCCCTCACTATATAGCCAAGGTTGGTCTTGAACTTTTGATCCTCTTTCCTCTACTGCCTGAGTACTGGGACTACAGCTAATCCTAAAGACTTTAATGCTTATTGGAAGGCATCACCATATTAAAATATAGTAGGAAATAAAAGCTTACATGGATGATTCTAAAGTTAACAACAACAACAACAAAACTCCCTGATTGTGAGTAGTGACTCACACCTGTAAATTGAACACTTGGGAAGCTGAGGCAAGAGGACTGCCATGAGTTCCTGCCACCTTGAGCTACAGCATGAATTCTAGGCTAGCCTGAGCTACAGAGTGAGATCTTGCCTCAAAAAATAAAAACAAGCAGAAAAGTCTCCATATCTTGTTTAAGGTAATAAAAACTCTTTACAACTGGCTGGCTATAAAGACACATATGTATAATCTCAGAGGTGAGGAGGCAGACACAGGAGAGTCATGAGTTCAAGACCAGCCTGGGCTAAATAGCAAGTAAGACCCTGTTTCATATGAAAACAAACAAGCCCAGTATGGTGGCATATGCCTTTAATCTAGCACTCAGGAGGCAGAGACAGTGGATCCCTGTGAGATTAAGGTCAGCTTGGTCTATAGAGCCAGTTACAGGCCAGCTGGGGCTAAAGGGAAACCCCGTCAGAAAAAAAAAAAAGCAAGCAAGCAAAACCTAAAAGAAGTCCCTGGAAAATAATAAAAAAAATTCTGTGACTCAATGACATGATTCAGTTATCTGCACAAGTTCTTCATGTGCGATGTCTGATGATGCTAGCTAGGCAAAGGGGTGCTAACTATATTTCCTTTTACGAACTTGTCACTACATGTTGTAATATACCTGCATAACATTTCAACTTCTAACAGCTGATATCTGCTAACAGACTTGCACTAAAAACAAACAACAAAACCAAAACCTACTTACGATCATAGGTAACTATTTCTTCTCCATCTTCTTCTTTCAGGGATTTGTTTGTGATCAGCATAAAATCTCGCTTATTGCACACTGCACAACCAGTAAAGTTCAGCAAGAAAGATCCATTCTCTAGGCAGGTATTACCCTACAATGTTGGAAATAGTAATTAAATTTTCTTACACTTTTAAATTTTTCGTGAAAATTATTAATAGACAAAATCTCTATAGGAAAAAAACTTGGGTAGAAAGCAATTTTTGAACTTACCAGCTTTCTTAAAGAATTGCTATTCATGACTAATGTAATTGAAGCACATGTTCAGTTCATAAATCTTGAAGGACTATGACTTTGTTTAAAAGAGAGGAGGGGGTGGAGGATGTAGCTCGGTGGTAGAGCACCTGTCTAGCATGTGTGAGGCCTCAGGTTCAAGTTTCAGAACCACAAAACAAACTGAAAATCATACAAACAAACATAAAAGAGAAATAAGTCCAAATATTTAGAAACAATAGGGAAAAAAACATAAAATATGAAAAAGAAAATTAAGGGCTGGGGAGATGGTTCAGTGGCGAACTCTTGCTCTTTTCACAAGCACAAACTCATACACAAATACACACGCATACATAATTAAAAATAAAATTTTTAAAAGAAAATTAAAATTAGGAAATTTTAGTAGCTAACATGTTTAAGTGATACAGCACTTGGGAGGCAGAGGCCGGCAGATCTCTTTGAGTTCGAGGCTAGCCTGGTCTACATAGCGAGTTCCAGGCCAGCTGCGGCTGGGAGACCCTGTCTCGTCATTCTTAGCAACAGAATGAGTTCAATGCCAGCCTGAAAAAAAAAAAAAAAAAAAAAAAAAAAAAAAAAAAGAAAAAGAAAGAACTAGTGATTTCTTACATTTTTTTTAAAAAAGAAACACTACTGAAGTATAATTTACAGACAGCAAAATTCATATACTGTAAAAATGAATTAACTTTAAAAAATATTTTATTCTTTTTGTTTTATGTATATGAGCGTACTGCCCATGTATGTAAGTGCCCCCATGTCAGGCAATGTCCACAAAGGTCAGAAGAGGGCATCAGATTCCCCTGTACCTGGAGTTATGAACGATTGTTAGCTGCCATGTGAACACTGGGAATGAACTCAGGTCCTCTGCAAGAACAACTACTGTTCTTAACCACTGAGTCACCTCTCTAGCTCCAAAATGAATGACTTTTAATAAGTGTATATGCGAACAAAACTACCACCCTTATTAAAATATAGAACATGGGCTGAGGAGATGGCTTAGTGGTTGAGAGCACTTGCTGCTCTTGCAGAGAACCTGAGTTTGGTTCCCAGCATCTACGTGAAAGCTCCATTGCCCTCTTCTGGCTTCTGTGAGCTCTGCACACACACACCAGGCACACATACAAATATGTAGGCAGTACACTTATACACATGAAATAAAAAGAAATGAATCTTTAAAAATATGGAACATTTCTGTCTCCCCAGGAAGTACTTTCATGCTTTTGGTTTACTTCTATCATCCCTAACAAATCATGAACTCAACAATATAATTCTCTCTCTAGTTTCATGTTCCAGAATTTTATGTAAATGGAACCAGAATATTCTTATGTATCTGCCTTCTTTTGCTCAACATCACATCTATGTTAACCATTGTTTTTGACTGTCATAGTAGAATTCCATGCACTCAGCTGTTGACAGGCATTTGGGCTCTCTTCAGTTTGTGGCTATTATGAATAAAGCAGCTATGAACATTCATGTACAAGTCTTGTGTACACACGTCTTCCTTTCTTTTGGGTAAATACCTAGAAATGCAACTGCTAGGTTATATATTTTTTCTTTTTTTAATGACATATTGAACTTCATAAGAAATTGCCAAGTGCTTGTCTAAGCTTTCCATCTCCCATTCCTGCTACCAGTGCCATTTCCAGTTGCTCCACTGACCCTAGGTATCGTACGTATTTTTGACTCTAGCCATTCTAGGGATGTAAAGCAGCACTCTCACTATGCTTTAATTTGCATTTCCCCAATGACTAATAAGCACTGAATACCTCTTCCTAGCACCTATATACATGCCTTCTCTTATGAGGCATCAAGTCTACTGCTTTTTTTTTTTTTGAGACAGTCTCCTTGTAGCACCAACTGGCCTAGAACTCCCTATGTAGACCAAGCTGGCCACAAACTCACAGATCCACCTGTCTCTGCCTCCCAAGTGCTATGATTAAAGGCATGTACCACCATGCCAAGCCCTACTGCCCATTTTTAAAAATCTTTTTTTAATTGATTTTGTGTATTTCATACAGAACATCCCAAACAATCTTATTCATCTTTATACCCGCAAACCAAATGGCACCCTCCCATAGCCACCCCCTACTGGAGCCCATATACTGTGTCATCCCCGTTACAGTCCACTGTGTTGTCAGTGCCCTGAGCTGTTCTGCAGTACAAGTCCATCTGCTGAGTCTAGCCAACCTATCTAGAGTCCCTTGTTTTAGGAAGATCAGCTCTTCCTCATCTAGCAGCAATTAGCCTATTGCCCATTTTTAAAGTTAGGTTGTCTACCTTCTTATGTGGAGTTGTATGAGTTCTTTATATATCTTGCATAGGAGCCCTTTGCCAAGTATAATGCAACATTATAGTTTTCCTTGTTACTACTCTGCTTTTTCAAAAACTGGTATTGTTTGGAGAATGGTCCTGAGGTCTCTACCCAGCCAGGCAAGGAAGCTACAGTAGACACACAGATGCAGCAATGCCCCAGAAGTGTGCCCACTAGTCCCCTGCTGCTTGCCCTATTCTTCTTAGACTACTGGGACCTAATCAGGGATGCACAACCTAAATGGAACGGCTCCTGATGAGCACAAAGATGGAAGAGGAGGAGCAGGAAGACCATGACGCTGACTCAGCAGACACGGACAAATCAGAGAAGGGTGAGGAGAGCAGAGCAGAGTCTTTGATGCTCCCACTTGCAGTAGCTGCTATCACACTTTTTCAGCCAGACCATTGCTGACAAAAGCACTAGGATGACTCTAGTCTGTTAAACTGGTTTCTCAATAATGTAATATAAATAATTAAATTGTGCTGCGCGAACAGCAGGGAATTCGCATGAGACACTGCTCTGGCCTTAGACTCTATGTGACATTACCTTAGGAACTGTTTTGGTTTGCTTTATGATTTTGAGGTAGAGGAAGAAATTATCCATCTTTTTTTCCTCCTCTAGGAGTCAATGGAAGAACAGTTCTCTAGTTAAGAAACAGACATTTATTTATTTAAAAATATTTTCTCTCCTCCCCAAGGCTCAGGGACCATCAAGGAAAAGGAGGTGGAGAGATTGAAAGGGAAGGGGCTCACTGGCCCCCACCCCTGAGGAGCTACGGACATGTCTTCTGGGGGAAAGAGAGTCAGTTTTCATTAAGGGTGTGGCCCCTGGTAGTCAGCAGTGCTCCTGTGGATGAATGGCTTCATACCCAGGAGTATATGGGCAGTATGAACTGAAGCTGATAGGTTATTTAAAAAAAAAAAAAAAAAAGACACAAAGTTGAGGGGCAGGAAGGTAGGGGTGGTGGAGTTAGGAGTAAGGGGGAAGAGCAGGGAGTAAATAGCATCAAAATACATGGCATGAAAGTCTCAAAGAAAAAAATGAAAAAAAATTCCAATCCCAAAATACAAGAAATGGACGAAATTTTTTGTGTGTTGCCTGTCGAGTACATCACCTTGCCTAGTCAGGAAACAGATTTGAGTAAGGGTTTAAAATGCAGCACAAATACCTATATAAGGTCAGAGAGAAAAGGAACTATGTGACTGAAGGATGCAGTGGAGACTTCTTGCAGTTGTGAATTATTTAGACATGAACAAAATTTGTTCTTAATATTTTGTATTCATGAGGGATGCTAAGAGTTTGTCCTTTCTTAGACAATCTATCCTTGAATTAAAATCTATCAGAAAGATCTTGAATTGAAAGTCTTCATTATTACAGTCTTTACCATAACTCTGGATTAATGTTTTGGACAGCTGTTAGTTGCCATGTGGATGCTGAGTCTTCTGGAAGAACAGCCAGTGCTCTTAATCTCTGAGCCATCTCTCCAGCCCCAGATGCATCGTTTTTGAATACAGTATGTAAAAAAAAGCATGAAACGTGTTACTGAAAGTAGATTTTTGGATGGACATGGTGGCGCATGCCTGTAATCACAACACTTTGGGAGGTTGAGGTTGAGTTAAAGGCCAGCCTGGGCTACCACACAGCAAGTACTAAGTAAGCCAGGACTATACAACAAGATCTTATCTCAAGAACCAAAAACAAAACACACAACAACCAATACCCACACACATACAAAAATAAGAACAGTGCTGAATTTTACTAAGTACAATTTGTTACTTTTTTCTTTTATATTTGTGTTTCCTGTCTTCAAAGAGATCTTTACTTTCCCAAAGATTTTCTCATGGTTTCTTCTACAAGTTTTGTAGTTTTAGTATATGATTTGTAGGTTTAATATATGATTGTGCTGGATAGCTTTAGTGTCAACTTGACACACCTGGGTTGAGGGAGCCTCAGTTGGGGATCTGCCTCCATTGGACTGGCCTGTGGCCATGTCTGTGGGGCATTTTCTTGATTGTTGAGTGATGTGGGAGGGCCCAGCCCACTGTGGGTAGTGCCACCCCTGGGCAGGTGGGCCTGTGTTGGATAAGAGAGCAAGCTGAGCAGGGGCCAGGGGAGCAAGCCAGTAAGCAGCATTCCTCCATGGCCTGTGCTCCAGCTCCTGCCTCCAGGTTCCTTGGGCTCCTGGATGAACTGTGTCCCAGGATATGTAAGCTAAATAAACCCTTTCCTCCCCAAGTTGGTAGTGGTCAGAGTGTTTTGTCACAGCAACGAAGAAACATACTAGGACAATGATCTATGTTGAAATACTTTGGTATGAGGAAAGAATTAAAGATCCACATGGATATTAGTTGTACTAGTTGTTGAAAGACCATCCTTTCTCCACTGAATTGCAATAGGGTCTTTGCAGAAAAATCAAATGACCATATACATAGACCAGACTCTACTCTTATTCTTTTTAATAATTTATTGAGAAATGCACTTCATATATGCATATAAAGTGCTTTTTTTTTTTTGGTCTTTTTTGAGACAGGGTCTCTCTGCAAGCCCCAGCT